GCAAAAATTTAGTCAATTCTTCATTTCGTTGCACAAGTAAAATGTGTTTTGAACTTTTCAATCGAATAGATAATGATGGGGATCTCTAAAAAATTAAATAGCTATTTTTTATCGTTGTGCCCCCTATTCCGAAATGGGTAAACCTGTCCTTACCAAAAACTGATCAGCACATCTTCCCGACAATTGAATTATTCAATCTGTTGATTCGTCTCAAAAGCGTCGACAAAAAAATGTAACCGGAAATACACATGCATACATCAATTTTTCTTAAGGTATTCCAAAATGTTAAAAAGGTTTTGAAACGTAAATATTTATAAACAATTGGCTTTATGTTTCATTTTTCGAATAACTCGCCCGTGAAGGGAATGCGAATTGGTGGTCAAATATGATCAATAATGAACCTAAGCACGCCAAATTGTCAGATATTTTGATAATATAGGTTTAGTTTTATCAATTCAATATTTTCAAAATCTCATTTTTTTCTGTTTTCAAAAAATTTGAAAGTTTTTTTTAAGATTTTAATTATCGGTATCGGTTCGAGCAATTTACCCTAAGATACGATGCTTTGCACCACTGGTTATAATAATATCATTATTCTGACGACTTGTGAAAGAAATAAATAATTTTTACAACCTTTGTAATTTCTGGGAGGTAATCATAGACCTTATATACATGTATACAGTAAACCCTCGCTTTACGCGGCAAGTGCGTACCGTGCAGTATAGGAACCGTGCTATAAGAAACTCGTATTTAACATACAATTCAGGCTAATTCGTAGTGCGTTCTATGGAACCTTACATAGTGCAGTATGGGAACCGTGTTATGAGAGACTCAGAGTTGGTACAAATCGCACCATTTTTATCGCGTTGTATGGAGACCAAGAAATACAACTTTAAGTAGGAGAAATACGGACAAAATGACGTGTAGGACATTGACACCTTATTCAAAAATTGGCGCGACGCAGTAGTCAGCTCAAACGTGTTCTTAGGCGGCTATTATACAATCAGGCATGTCTAAAAGATAAAAGCCGATAACAAAATTTACATCAATACCCTTTTGCATAACGAACTTATGGGCTGTTGACCAAATACCGCGTAATAAGAAGTCCGTGTAGTCGGAGGGATGTCGGATATTTAGATCCGTGTAGTATGGGAACCGTGCACCCAGAGTGCCGTGTAAAGCGAGGGCCTACTGTATACCCTTCTTTTAATATGATAAGGTCTATGGAGGTAATGCAAGTCATAGATAAACAAAGATGCAAGCTTAGATAAAAGAAGAGTATTTGCTATGTGCGTGACTGTAGCGCCGTAATAAATATGAACTAATTGCGGCTATCAGTGTGTGGTTTTCATGGGTTTTATATGTTTGTTAAAGAAAAAAGATAATAAATAATTGTTATAAATAATAATAAACAAGATACAGTAATAATGTGAACGCTGAATGTTTATTGAAATTATTAAATATACTTCAACGTACTCAAAACATAATTAAGTATAATGATTAATCAAATAAAAAAATGCAGTAAACATTTTTACAGTTAAGTGCCTCAAAGCTTATGTCATAATCTCGGAATAGTTCTTAATAAAAACAATATAATAATGATAAAAATATTTTATCAATAGAATAAGTAAATAATAAATTAATTTACTCATTTTTTTATTATTTTTGGTCAAACTAAAGACTTACAATAGACATTATTATAAAGACATGATTTGATTCCATCATCCATCAAATAAAATTGCAGAAAAAAAACTACATTAACTTTTCGAGGCTTGTAAATTGAAATATTGTTGGCAAGTAGATAGGACTCAATACCTCGTCCGATTTTTTTCCTCTAATGAAATGTTCACTGCAAATGCGATCATAGGGCTTGGGAACCCACGGCGGTGATCCATCAATACTACAAATATATATTTTGCATTATTTCAGCATTGTATTAATAAAACTGTTTGCAAAATAAACATTTTAGCGCTATGTGATAACTTTTATTTTTCTTTTAATCATAAAATTACAATTATTATATAATAAAATGTAATTAATATATAGATAATCGTTATACATAATCAATATACAATATATAAATATATATTTTTCATTATTTCAGCCTTGCATTAATTACATTTTTTGCAAAACAATTTTTTCTAGTAAGCATTAAACAACAATAATATAACAATTTATTGACTTATAATTTTGCTTTTTGCTAAACATAACAATTTTACAACTATTCATAATACTCCGAATTGTATTTTTATAACAATAAGGTTATGATACTTACTTTAATCTTCTAACCACAGCGATCCACTTTTCCCGTTGATTTTATTTCCACTTAGCTGTAGAAAATGTATAGAATTTGCAGTCACTTTTTCTGCTAGTATTTCTACAACCCACTATACAACAGCTTTGGTGGCTCATTTTTAATTATCCTATTTAAATTTGAAATAAACAAATATTTTATGTGTTTTCATTTAAAATTTCTGTTATAATAGCCAACTTTAATGCTCGAAGTAGCCACTACGAACGCTTCGGTCGATTTGACTTCCCCTTCCATGCCTTCGCACCATAGATAAGTAAACATAATGCTTCGCACATAGCCTATATAAATGCATGCATAGATAAGTAAACGCCTATATGGATGCATGGATGCAAGAATTTTGCTAATACATAGATAAATAAACATAATCCATACTCTTTTTTATCTATGATATAATCTTTGCGTAAACTATTTGATCCTTTTATGTTTATTTATCCATGATTTGATCTGTCATGGTCGATCCAATTTTCAATTCAAGCCTTTAACATTCTTTGCCTATAATATGAGTTTTTCTTCTATTATATAATGAACTGAAGAGCTAAAACACGATTAAATTTATTGGTCTGGAAATCTTATAAGATTAATTAATTATTAGTTAACATTACATTTTTATCAAACAAATTCTTCAAAAGCCGAACATTTCGCGCCAAATATGATAAGGTTGGCAACAGTTATTTGGTTTTGCGCTTTTATGTGAATTTCGTCATCTATGAAAATCCATGAAAACACTGAACCGTACAAACACGACGTTAAAACATGCTAATTTTGACGTTTGGCGGTCATACAATGGTCATTGACCTTTGATCGTACTTTTAACGGACGCTATGAAGTTGGCGTCGGAACGAGTGTTTAGCTGTCATAAATTGATTGTACATTTCACGGACGACATGAAGTTGTCGCCGACAAGAATAGTTCGGCGCAGTTCGGCGAAAAGAGTAGTTTAATGAGTTTAAACCTGAGAACCGAATATGAAAATCCTATACGATATAATAATATATGATGGAGATATCATATTCAAATATTGTCTAGGATCGAATCTTGCAAAGATGTTGGCCTTTAACGTCGAGATTTAGGAATTTGCAATAACAAATGATTTATATTTAATCTCTATGACAAATATTTGAGAAAGAACGAAATATAGTTATTCCAGAACATATTAAAACCAACATTACGGAGTCCTTTGATTTGGTATTCAAGTATTATAAGATCAAGTTTCAAATTTGTCATGAGTAGGGTCTCATTTGACTGCAGTTAGTTTTTACTAAATAAAGGCTAGGACGTTAATAATAATAACAAAATAAATTCAAACTAGGATTGAATGTGATAATATAGCCTACTGGCGTTAGGACAAATAAAACAATCAAATTTGCACCCACCTTTTGCAAATTATATACATTTTTAGTAATTGCACTACTCAATGGAATAAAGCAACATGTTTTAAATTTGTGTAAATAATAAACATGATATTATTTTTGCTAACAATATAGCTAGTGTAAATAAAAAATAACAATAATATCATTTAGCCCAATGAATAATTTTACTAAAAATTATATTTAAACAATTTTATTTTAGATCAAATACTAATAATTTCAAAGAATAAAAAAAGAATAGTACTTATTTTATTTAACATTTTTATTAAAAATCAATAATATATAAACATTTTATATTATTTGCAATATGAACCATGTAATAATAACATCCAAACGATATGAAGCATTGAGAAAATTATCGCAAGCCAAAGCCAAACAGAAAGAAGTAGATACTGATTGCTTAATATTTAGATTTTTTATTATTAACTCTTTTATTTACAACTGTCCAGTAAAGGACATTCAGTAAATTTGATGAATTTAGGTGAAAACTTAAAAACTATACTACTTTCACCATCCAAAAACCATATTGTTAAATTAATAAGATTTCTATATCTTTCGCAGTTTGAAAAACCATGACAACTCATAAAATGTATTCATGTGCATATAGCTACATTATATTTGCAAAAGCTGCAGGTCATTCTACCTTAGAAAGTCATATGTATTGTCAAATTGATATAAATCAAATATAATGATGCCAATACAATTGGGTTTATTCTCGATTTAAATCCATTTGTATGATTAGTCGATGCAACATATTATAATATCCTATCAAGCAAAGATCATAATATACTGGTTCTTGATTGTGTACCTAAAAAAACAATTTATAAGTTATACAATACAGAGTACAAATAATCAGTATATGTAAAGCACTACATACCTATAAAATGTTCTCTCGAGCTGAGTGGAGAATTGGGAATGGAAGATGGATTAATGTTAAAATGAGTAGACGGTGTAGCAGTTTGTGAAGATAAATACATGTAGAGAGCTGAGGTTGATGATGAAGAAGGTTGTAGAAATAAAGACTTGTACGGAGCTAAGATTTATGATAGAAGGTTGTGGAAATAAAGATGTGAAGCCCAAGAATTGAAATTGTAAAATGATAGTTAAGATGTAGAGACATGTGAAATGGAAGAAAGTAAATTGAAGTGTGTAAAGGATGTTGAAATAAAATGTGCACGTGAAGGAAAGGATTTGCGAGGAACTATGTGGATGAGCATAGGTGAACGGAGCAATGAAATAGATATTGGAGAGTAATGTCGAAGATGTGGACATATGTGAATTGAAAAAAGGTAAATTGAAGTGTGTAAAAGATCTTGCAGGTAAATGGGTTGCTGAAGAACAAGATTTGGCAGAAACAAAGGGTAATGAAGATACATTATTAGTAGCAGCTGGGATACCATTGTGAATTTATTTAACATGCCTTATTAACGACGATTTCTATTTAAATGTGTTGTTGTGTAATGACCAGATATTAGGCAGTTCAGGTTTTAAACCATGTTTCTGTCTCATGTGCCAAAACAAAGACCCGCCAGTGGCGCAAGGTATCTGGCACTCTCGACAAAATGAATCTCATTCAATATTCATGGCGCAAACTTGATAATAATTGAAGGAATATAATAGAGTATACGTAATAAAAAATAATGCTAAACTATAAATTATAATATAAAGTCTAACCTAACCTAAAATCGAAGCCTAACCTAATTTAAACTTTGTGAATAAGGAAGAAAATAGGCGTTAAAAAAACGTGAAGAAGTACGAATAATAATAAAAAGTAATTAAATATCCAAAAAACAATTAAACCTAATTGAAACTATACTAAAATGTATCCTAATCTAAATATATCGAATTGAAACTACACTAAAATGTATCCTAATCTTAATATATGGAATATACGGAATGATATAATAAACGAGAAAGCCTAAAAGAGTAAACATGAATGTAAATAGCATAAAAAATTAATTAAAAACAACGTAATAATATTAATAAACAAGAAAAAGTTCACTTGATAACAAACGACACGGACGCGTCGCAACACGAAAAAGAACCGCCATATTATTTGACACGCTGACAGTCGATGCTACTTGTTGACAGTTGGTGTACGGTTCTACTGTTGACAGTTGAAGTACGGTCACAATTAAATGGCCGATTAGCAGTATTTAATAGGAGTAACCGTACAATCGTTAGTGAAGTTAAATTTTTTGCTCATTGATATATTTTCATATTGTATAATTTCATAGTGTTTAAGGCTTGTATTGACATATTTATAGAACTCTATACTGTGTATATTATTTATTAATAATAAATATTTATTTGGTAAGTTTTCTGGGACTATTTGGGCTAGCTAGATATTTTACTGTCAATACACAGAAGAAAAACTAACAACTTACATACTATTTTATTCATAGGACTTACTTTGTATTACTTATTTTATATAGATAGTATAAATTGCTAACAAATATTTTATGTAGGTTTATATGAACCGTAATCGTTAATATCATTTAATTTATTAGTCATGAATATATTTTCATATTGTCTAACTGCAATTAGAGCATTTTAGTGTTTAAAGTGTTATTAACATACCTACATTTATTGACAGAACTTTATACTATCCCTAGTATTTTTTAATAATAAATATTTATTTGGTAAGTTTTCTGCGACTATTTAGGCTAGCTAGATATTTTACTGTCAAAGAAGAAAAACTAACAACTTACTTATATACTATTTGATTTAAAGGACTTACTTTGTATCATTTATTTTATATAGATAGTATAACTGATATTTCATTTATGTATATATTAACTAATAATACCAATATCAATGCAGGTTTACAAGTTGAACTTCTGAAATGCATCACCATCGTTCTTCAAATGCTCCTTCAGAACATGATACATCACTTGTATCATCTTTAGATGTGTCATCTGATAGATATATTATCCATCAATCAGAGTAAGTTAAAAATCAATTGTATAATATATAAAGTGATACGGTGGCCTTGGACAACCAAATGTACTAAATGATATATATATATATATATATATATATATATATATGATTTAGTTGTTAATTTTGATGTTGAGATATATGAGTAAGTTCTTGTGGGGCGATACATCAAAAAATAAAAACCAAAGATTTATAAATTAATCTTTAATTCTGAACGTTTTGACAAACGCCCTACAAGAACTTACTCATATATATATATATATATATATATATATATATATATATATATATATATATAGATATGAATTGAACTATATTAAAATTCAATAGTTACAATTTAAGTCATTTATAAATATAATAATTTATAATACATAATTATTCTAAATGTTAATTTATGAAATAATAGGGATTATTTAGTAAATAATTTCTAACAATATTTTTAAAAGTTTCTGGTATTGCATCTCGATCTATCAGGTAGCCTATTATAGATCTTGGCTTCTAATGAAGACCTTAGCGATGATTTAAGTTTGATTATTGGGCTTATCACAGTATTTCTATTTTGCTTATTGTGATCTTGGATATGACTTCCCAATAAATTATTAGTTTTATCAGCATGCACCGCAATTGCTTTTTGCAAATATAAATGTTTGTGACAGTCAATATTTCGTATTTGATGAATAGCGGCCTGCAAGGCTCTCGGGGAGAGACTCTTTTTATTGCTCTAACTTCTTTTGTAGATCCATAACTTTAGAAGTGTGTGCACTATGTCTCCTAAGGTAATATTCGATATAAAAGGACAGAATGGAATGTAGCAAAGTAAGTTTTCTGGCACATTCCTGGATTTAATTCTTCTGATGGCATAGATGGCTTTCGAGAGCCTCACATAGCATATCTATACGTTTGGCCCAGGTCAGCAAACTATCCATTGTTAGTCCCAAGTATTTAACTTAACCGCCTTGAAGTTCAAAGTGTCTTCTACTAAATGTAAAATTAATAGAAACAGTTTTATTTTTATTCAGCATAATTTTATTGGCAAGGAAGTACACTTCAGTCTGTTTGTAAGCATTTTGCATTTTCATTCATAACTTTTATGTATTTGCAACTGGAAATATATAATATATATATATATATATATATATATATATATATAAAAGTAAAATAAAGGAAATCAGCTTTATCAATCCATAGTTTGTTTTCGAGACCGTTATTCAGTGGAAAACTGGAAAGTTTTTTATAATTTAGAAGAGAAATTGGATCCAAACGTAAATAAATAAATAAATAAGCTTCTATTATTATGTACAAATATTTACAATTTATCCGTGTTAGAGCCTATTTCATATGTTGTAGCTCCTTTCTTGCTTAGTACAACGTATGGACCGTCATTTTTCGGGGCAAATTTTGATGTTTTGCCCTCTTTGGCTTTGCTTATAATGTGTGCATTAATCAGCACTAAGTCTCCAGGTTTGTATGCCAGTCCCTTTCTTCTTTTCTTGTCTGCATACGTTTTCCTGTATTCTTGCTCACGTTTATTAACTGCTTCTGTTGTAGGGTTTTTTCCAACACTTTCAGGCGTGGTGTGATTTCTGCAACAAAGTTTTCGTTTTCCACGATTGCCTTTAAGTCGCGGTTTGCGTCATCGGGGCCCTCTCCCTCGAGTGAAGCTGTACTGATTGCATTTCTGCTGGCGCCTGTTCGTAGGATATAGCGTGCTCCATGCTCCGCTTGTTTCCTGGGAAGTTTTCCATGTGCATCGATTAATTTTCTCATTTTTCTCTCCTGGTTTCTTTTCAAGGCTATTGCGTCGAAGGTACACATTGGGTTGAAATACTCGCTTTCGAAGTACGCTGTGAAGCGTGGGTCGAAGCCGTTGTTCCACGGTTTCGATAATTCCTCGTCGCTCAGGAAAAATATTATTGAGGCGCCCTAGAATAAATTTGAATGTGTATGTGTATGTGTGTATGTATGTATGTTCGATTCCAATTGATACGAAGACGTTCTGATTAAGTTTCGAAGATACGAAGCAAAAAGTGCAAATAGAAATCAGAATCTTACACCCTGAATATTTTACTTAGGTCGTTTTTTTGTAGAACGTAAGCCGACTGTTGATCCATCCATATTTCATTACTTCATTATTAGAAATTATCTACCAGAGCTGACTTATTACAAACTTCCCGAAGGAGCAGTTTGTTTGAAAATTTAGAGTTTTTTTGCAAAGCATTGTTAACAAAATTAACTTACCCCGCGAGAAGTTAAAAATGAAAACAAAATTTGTACTGATTATTAAAATTTTTGTAAAAAAATTTGATAATTTGATGTGCAAATCTACATTGATCATTTTTGACCATCAAAGGATCTTTTTTGGATCACCAAAAACGCTGACTCTGCCATCCCAAGAATTTAGTCAATTCGTCTTTTTGTCGCACAAGTAAAATGTTTTGAATTTTTCAATCGGATAGAGAATGGGCCTCTAAAAAATTGAATAGCTATTTTTATCATTTTGCCCCCTATTCCTAAATGGGCAAAACTGTATTTACCAAAAACTAATCAGCACATCTTCCCGACAATTGAATTATTCAATCGGTTGATTCGTTTCAAAAACGTCAACAAATTTTTTTTTTTTTTTAATTTTTTATAACCATATAAATTACAATCTGTCTCCAAGAGACATTCAGTAATTAGATTGGTAGTAAAAATAGATGCTTAACAGGATACCCAGTAGTAAACCTTTTAGTTATGATATGTAGCAATTATAGCAAAATATTTATAAATATAGATACTAAAACCTATTGTAAGTCTAAACATGCATAAATAATATATGGCTATAATTACATATACATATAAATAATTCTTACATAAACTAGCTTTACTTATTCTGTTAATTCGAGTAATGATTGTCTTTTTAATCTGTGATTATGTGTGGTATTGTACAGTTCTTTTGCTAAGACGTTGGGGTGACTGCTTATTTTTATTTTATAGTTTTGTGCTATTTTGTTTATCTCTTCATTTACTGTGTTGACGTTTGCGTCTTGGTGTATTAGCCATGTAGGCATGTATTTCGGTGCAGAGAGAGCCTCACGTAGGATTTTATTTTGAAATCTTTGAATGATTTGGATGTTGCTTCTTTTAGCTGTACCTCATAGTTGGAGGCCATATGTCCAAACTGGCTTAAAGATAACCTTGTAGATGAGAATTTTGTTTGAAGTGGAGAGTTTAGATCGTATTCGTAGCAGCCAGTAGAGAGTTCTACGAAGGTGTTCCAACTGTTCTCGCTTTTTGAGGATGTGGGTTTTCCAATTAAGTTTATTGTCCAAATATATACCCAGTTTTGTTTTAAAATTTCGTTACCGTATATGTAAACAGGTGGACATGTACTCCTTCGCAGTGTAAAAGTAACTTGAACAGATTTGTTACTGTGGAGATTTGTAACCTCCATAGTGTAAACCACTTTTCTATTATATTAATGTG